TTAAGTCCATTCAGAAAGAAGAAGGACACTGCCGCTATTATGGACTGTCGACGTGTCCCTGCTTGGAGCTCATAAATTTGCCATTTGCTTCACCTCAACTGGGTATGATAAGTCTTGTATAAGCAAAGTACATGCATGCGAAGGATTATATGTAGATATGTATGTATATATGTATTATATATTTATGTATGTTTATATACTCGCGTATATATTTATCTATAACATGGAGACGTTCGCACATAACTTGCATAGCGACACTGATCTAAAGAGGACACAAATACAATTATGAGTGTTCTATTAGGATGTGCACGGCCAGCAGATACTCTGCATCTCTGAGTGGACATTGTGTTTCTAACTGCCTACTGCATACGTACATACTTATAGTCAAAACCAAGATAGCCTGATTTCCCATTTTCAATGGGCTCAATATATAAAAGGTTATTAAACAATTAAGTGTCCATAGTGAACCCACACTGTAGCCCATGAGTGCTGATGGCTCTCTTGGCTCTTATGTATGTAGAAAATAAGCGAAGAAATTTCAGCTCAGCGCTCAGAAGATCTCGTAGACGAGCAGTCTCGACTTGAGTTTTCTTGTAGAAATATGTCTACTAGGCAAAAATAATCTCTGATAATTCATGATACCCTATTCTTTATGAAACATAGTCAGCACCGTCTCCAACACCCTCAGCACTACAATACCCACTTTTGAAGTGACAAATACATGTCCAACTCTTCTATTGTTCTTATTAAATTCGAATGGAATACGCTCTGTGGAATTTATTATTGAAGAAAATGCCTACGATTGGCGCTAATTTGCACTAAACTTTATAATTTACTTGATTAATGACCGTGTTAGATGTCGTACTCAAAGGAAATACTTTGTACATAGAAATTAATGCAAAATGTGAAGACTCCAGCTGGAAAGATGTAAGCTATATGAATGAAAAACTTCAGTTCGACTTGGTTATATCACCTGATTAAGAATATATACATATGTAAATATATGTATATACACTTGGTAGAATTAATCACAGCTCCTGTCCACAACAGACTCACATTTCAATGCACTGCAGGGCATAAAGAAAACAAATCTCGAATAATTATAATTTATGCGCAAGCACAGAAATAGCCCCGAACTCTGTGACAACAGAGAAATTGTTATAAATATGGCGCATACGCCGGTACGGGCACCGGTCAGCAGCTCTAAAATTGATTTAACGCCTTGTCCGCTGCGTGCTGCTGTCCATGTTCATGTCCATATTCATGCTTGTGTCCATGTCCTTCCTTGTCCATGACTGGCACTTAAGAAACATAGATCTGTGCGAATAACTTTTCGAAACTTGGACAAGTTGTCGCCGTCATTTGGGCGAGCGAACCATAGCTAATTACGCAAATGTGTATTTCTGCTAGCAAAATGTGACACATATTATCATAAGCCAGAAGGCAAGGACATCCGCAGCAACAGACAAGTTTAATTGCTAATGTCATAGCAGAACTCGAAGCTATCTCTTCTCCCTCTCTAATCCGGTATGAAATTTTATTAATTTTCATTTTAAGATGACTCTCAAAGCTAGAAATTTGACCAGTTCTTATGGCATTTCAAATCGGTAAATTACTTTTCTGCTTTTCATTTTGGCAAACGTTTCGATTTCTATAAGTGACTTTAAGTGGACTCTATTCGAGGCTGCTCGACTACGAGATACCCTGAATTCTTTAAAGAACTCAACTTTCATTAACTTTGCTTCTTTTCTGCATACAGATTCTAACTCTTCAGGCGTTCTCCTGATCAAGATTAACTTTAACATTATTATTTGAGCTGTTGAATCAATAAACAAAAATTTTTTTAAGTTGTATATACTTATTATATACTATATATTATACTATATATATACTTATTAAGAACTGAAAACGATATCATCTATAAATTATTCACAGAATACTTTTTATGTTCCCCACATATGTATATACAAATCTTTATTATTTCTTAGAGAAAAAAGCAATAATTTTATAAATAAAATTTGGAAAAAATAGTCTTTATAAATAATATATATGTAGTACCCATTCCACCAAACACCTTTGTTAATAATATTTCGATCGATTCCATAAAAATCTATATGGAAACAAATATTTTGGGTCTGGTTAAGGCTTTCCTATCAATAGAGCAGCTGTATTTCTCAACAAATTTCATGTGATATGGAAAAAGGCCAAGTCGAAAATACGTGGAGTCTGCGAGTCTTCAAAGTGCGACTTGCATAATTTTGTTGTGCAGTGCTATTGACTTAAGGAAAAAAAAATGCAAAGATGCAGCTGCTGTCAAAGTGCCCCAAAGAGGGGATGCTCGATGGAGGGAGGGCATGGGCAGTTTGAAAGGGAAGTGGGTGTGGGTTTAGCACACTTAATATAAGTCGCGCGGCGCGAATAAGAGAAATTGCTGACACATTTCAATTGAATTTCAAATGCGAGCTAGTTTCTATATGTATGTATGTATATGCATGTGTGTGTGTGTGTGTGTGTGTGTGTGTACAACTGGCAGACATATCGTAAATACATATAAACACATATGAATAGTTGCTGTTGTTTGTTTTTGGTGTTGTTGAAAGTTAAACACAAATCAATTTGTAAAACTATTTTTATAACAAGAAACAAGCAGAGCCCGCACTACATTTCAACAAATTTATTGCCAAGATGTGCGAAAAAAATTGAAAGCATATTTTTTATTTTATGTTTTGTTTTATTTTGTTTTGTTTTGTTTTGTATTTGTTGTTGTTGTTCGTTTCTTGTTTGCTTTGTTTGTTTGGCAAATAAAGGTAAAAACCTCCATCAAATATTCATATTTTATGTTCGCAGCAATTACGAAAAATTTCTAAGTATTTACTTGAATTGTTCAAATTACTATGTATATATATGTAGTTTGTATTGCAGTGTATACTATATGTTATATAGAGTATATATACAGTATAATTTAAGCATTATTATAGTTACACATAAACAGTTTTATTCATGTTAATTCACTCAGCTGGCATTAAAATTAGATTCCCTCCACTCAAGAGAGTTAATGAACCCATTGCAAATGCCACTTACTTCACTTAATGATGCTCGCTTGCAACGCCAATGCCATTGAACTTTCATTGCCGGCTACGAAATACCCTATAATTGTATTTCATATATCAACTTTTAAATATTTGTAGCAAAGTTGGGACGGATAACATTAAGATTTGTTTGAATTGATTCAGCCTAGTCATAGCAATATATCACATGTGGAAAAATTTGCAAAATGTTAAAAGATTTTTTGAAGAAATACTTTATGACATTTGTATTTCGAAATCTTTGAGGTTTATGAGTAAACATGATTTTATCATCTTTTTATATCCTGAACACATTGCTTACATGAAATCAGGATTATAGGTTATCTTAAAATGCATGTACTATGCTCAAGGAGGCGGGTCAGATCCCATTAAGTATATATATATATATATTATATATATATATATATTCTTGATCAGGGCCATGAGCTGAATCGATTTAGCACTGTCATTATATCTGTCCGTTTGTATGAGCGCGTCAATCTCAGCACTTAGAAGAGCTAGAAACCTGAAATTTGTTTTGTGGCTTCCTATATAGCAGGCGCAGATGTAGTATCATATAAAAAATCGATAACTTTTCTAACTTTAGTGTTATCGATTATAAGACTAAAAAACGTTAGAACCTGATCTCTCATTTTCAATGGTTTCAGGTATAATTAGCTATAAAATCATATCTCGTACATAAGAATGAGAGACTCTTGTTATTTTATACAATTTTAGTTTCTATTTTATTTTTGGTACCTGAGAGGTCGTGCTCTCACATGTGTGGGTGTAAGTGCTGTTTTTTTTTTGTGAATGCAGAATGAAAGAAAAAAATAATTTTTGGAATATCATATCCTCGAAAAGTTCAAGGGATCTCGCAGCCGAGCAGTCTGGTCTAAAGCACTCTCGCTTGTTTTTTTTTCTGGTAGAATTAATTTTTATATGTATTGGAAGGAACATGGAATTTACATTTATTCCCGATCGAGGCCCACAAAACTAACCAACAACTTGTAGCCTTTGCTCCAATTATACGTCATGGGATGCAATGGCAACAGAGTCAGTTTATATATTATAAGAGGAGAAAAGATGTTGTTCAAAGGAATGTTCCTAGCTGATGGGAATTTTAAATTAAATACCTTGGCTTCAGAAGTGACAGTCAGTGTAGCATAGATAGCTGTACCTCAATCTTATGAGTGTAGCTTAGATTGTTGTATGATTTCTTCTGTTAAAATGCCCTTCATAATAAACAAATTGTATTTGCTTCCATTTGGGATAAAATATTATATACATAACTATATTTATTATCTATACTGTCGATAGCTGACAACAACTATAGATAGACCACAAATTGTATACTATAAAAATGTCTTCGATTCTGCTTCATAGTCTTAGAAATACCTGTAACGCTTCTCTACAAGATGACGGAGCATTAACACTTAAAATTTCAAAATTGAATTTATTGAATTACTGCTGATTGGTTGGGTTCGACAGATATCTACATTCTTATTAATTATATCAATCACCAGACTAAGCATATGAAACCATAAAGAGAGAAGAACATTTCGATCTGTTTAGAGCTTATTAAATGGTTACAGGGTATAATTACAACAACAGCAGCAACAGCAACAGCAACAGCAAAGAGAGCGCTGAGTGGAATCGCCTTGGCCATCAATCAAATGCCAATAAATTGCACATAGCTGCCTTAGCACACAGTCATAGCCCTGGTGATGCCATCAAAGCCCTCTACTTCTGTAGACCCGCCCCTCTCCCATGGTCTGCATGCCGGCCAGGGCCGCCATGGCGTTCATCTCGGTGGCCCTCTGTCCCCGGTCTGCTGGTGCCAGCCATTTATTATGCGGCGCACTTTAATTAAATGCTAATGCAGCGTAGCCTTTCAATTTGCAATAGTACCCATTTTTCACATTGTTGACGCAGATCTTTCGCCATCTGGAGCGGCCCGCGGAGGTGGCGCGCCTCACCCAGCTGAAGGACGTGGTCAAGACGCAGCGGGAGCGCTTCATGAGCACCATATTGAACAACACCGAAGTGAACAATCTCAATGAGCTGCTCTCCTTTGAACTGGCCAAATATGAAGCGGTAAGTGCAATGGAAACACAATATGCAAAATTCGTTGCATACTTTTTGGCATATTTTAGCGATTCAATAAAATGCGATTTGTATGTATTAGTATTGTTATTATTTAATAATATCTTAACGAAAATATTGTGTTGCATAAGTATTATTATATGGTTCAGAGAAGCTTGGACTACATTTTCATACCTAATATTTTTATACTCATTCACGCAAGTAAAATGAGTATATTGATTTTGCGGAATCTTCTTCGCGCCGTCCGTCCGTCGGTGATCGTTTATCCATATGAAAGACTCGATATACCCTAGAATTATACCATATCAAAATGTTCCTCATCCACCCAATAGGGGCGTGGCATATGGTAGAAATCACTGTAGTTGAAGTGCTATAGAGTTGAAATTTGGAATGTATATTTGTATTGGTGGCACAAAATCAATAAGATATGGCGGATATATCTAAGGCCATTGACGGCGTGGCAAATCGGATAAAACTATATCTCCTACAGTTTTAGAGTCAGCAACTCAAAATTCAACGACTATATTACTGTACACACGTTCTATTGATGACTGGAATGATGATGAAGCGTAGTAGGCTTAGAATATCCGATTATCGAAGGGCTAGTCCGGACAGTCTTGACGAAGTCTTTATAGTCATGGTAGTGCTAGTAGTATATAACTGTAATCAGTAAAGACAACTTTATACCTATGACACACTTGACGTCAGACATACGTGGAGAAGCACTTTGGCCAATTATTTGTTTCCTTACTATTTTATGATTTATTTTAAATTACAGCAATACAATAAAAATTTTAACTATTTTGAACTTTTTTCATTGTATTTGGATTAGACAAAGTCATGAACACACCATTAATTGATTTCTTTTCTTCTTTTCAATAGGCCGTACAACAGGCGGCAGAGGGCGGGCTGCTTATCGTAGCCGATAAAGACTTTCCAGAGCCCTATGAGCGCTGGAGCATACTGCAAGCTGTGTTCTTCTCATCAACTGTGTTAACCACTATAGGTAAGTCATCAACTGTGAGTCGAACGAAAGGCAAGTTTTAGACGGTAGTGCCTGACTAGAAGGTACCCTGCCTTAGTCTACGTTCTATATATGAATTTAACTTAAGAATGTGCAAATGAATCAAATTATCTGAAATTTAAATTAGATCTAAGTAGCATCTAAATTATAAATTATACATAGTCTTATTTATAAGAATAAAATGTAGATTTTAGATGGTTTATATACTTTTTATACCCTGAACCCATTGAAAATGGGAAATCAGGGTATAATGGTTTTGTGAAAAGTATGTAACAGGCAGAAGGAGGCGTGGCAGACCCCACAAAGTATATATATTCTTGATCAGGGCGACGAGCTAAGTCGATTTGGCCCTGTCCGTCTGTCTGTCTGTCCGTCCGTCCGTCCGTCCGTCCGTCCGTATGAGCAAAAGGATCTCAGAAGATATAAGAGCTAGAGAGCTGAAATTTGGCAGTACAAGTTTATCATATTTTTTCGATAACTCATCCGAGAACTTTTTTTATCAAGAATAATCGAAAAATCGACATAATTTTTTCAGCCTAATTTGAACAACCTGGAGACTTCAAATTCGCGTTGTATATAAAGTTAATGAATACAAAGATTTTGTAATTTACAGATTTCGGATACCACGCGCCATTCGTCCCCAATTTGTAAAAAACGCATTTCAAGTACTAAAAACTTGTGCTTTGGAATGTACACACATTTTAACCATATCATTACGCTCTGAAAGTTTCATTAAGATTGTATGTCTACAAAAGAAATTATTCAACAAATAAATTCTCATAATATTGCCCACATTGCAGCGCAGCCCAAGCGCAGCCGCTGCTTACTGCGCAGTTAGCAGAGCGCGTGCTTATAAGTGCATGTATATATGTATGTATATGTGCATAAAAGAAGTCCAGAATGATTAGAATATCAGGGTTCAGGGTATCTCCTAGTCGAGCAGTCTCGACTAGAGCCTTCTTACTTGTTATATTAAAAATCGATGTATAATTTGATATCAGTAAAATCTGTAGTCTTTAAATTATGTAGACCAAGTAACATAGTCAATTTTAATCGATACTACGAGGACAGAATAATTTATCGAAGAAACTTGTACTACGTGATATATTAAAAGATTATATATATACGATTACGTTAATTTAATTTCAAGGTATATAACACTCCTCTTTAAAAATTAGAAAGCAATTCATGAACCATAGAATCTATGGTATTTCGCAGTGACACTGCGTCTAAAAGTATAATGTATAAACTATAACCATTGTATAATTGCAATTTAATATTATTATTCAAATAATTCAATTATTATTTTAATTAAAATTAACTGGGCTGTCACCTCGCTAGAGTCGGCAATTTGTTTAAAATAAATCAGCAGCAGCTTTCTTGACTTAATTTGTTTGTCTTTTTTTTTTTTTTTTTTTTTTTTTTCCTTCATTTTATTTAAGTCTGGAATATGTCATCATTAATTAATTAATTAAAATATATTAATATAAAAATACAAAATATAAAAATACGTTACTCATCCCTCTCTGTCTCTCTCTCTTTCTCTTACAGGCTATGGTAATATAGTGCCCGTAACGACGAGCGGTCGTGTCTTTTGCATTTGTTTCGCACTCATCGGAATACCCTTCACGCTGACCGTCATCGCCGACTGGGGTCGACTCTTTGCCAGCGCTGTGTCCGTCTTTGGCAAGCACATGCCAAGTGAGTGGAGTACCGCAAAGTATGATTACGATTACGATAACGATTATTATCGATTGCAGCGAAACCAAAGTTCACAAACTTCATCGGCAAGACCTGGTTCTATGCCATTCTGGCAGTTGGATTTCTGGGTGTTTATCTGGCAGCTGGCGCCGGGCTCTTGCTGCTCTGGGAGGACGACTGGACGTTCTTCGATGGCTTCTACTTTTGCTTCATTACAATGACAACGATAGGATTCGGTGATCTGGTGCCCAGTACGTTAGTCGCAATCAAAACATTACCACAGCCAATCGAGCTATCTCTCTCTCTCTCTCTCTCTCTCTCTATCTCTCTCTCTCTCGTTCTCTTTGCACAGAGAAACCAAACTATATGCTGCTGTGCACACTCTATATACTGATTGGATTGGCGCTCACCTCGACCATCATTGAGCTGGTGCGTCGCCAGTATGCGACCAGCTGGGCCAAGCTGCAGGTAAGTGTGCTTCTCCCCCTCCCCCACCCTCTCAACTCAAGCCTTACCTTGCCTTACAGGAGCTATCGGGTCCAATGGCGGAGACACTGCGACGCCTGGGCGAAACGGCGGGCACGGGCCTGGACTACACCACTTTGCAAAAAGTTTTAACTGTAAGTGAAGTGAGCAGCTACAGCCACTGCTAATGCACACTGTGACAGTGTTGAATAATAAATTCCATCGTGTGCCAGCAGGTCTCCATGCCCAAGTGGAATAGCAACAAGAAGAGCGAGCACAATTCGGACATCGCTGCACTGGAGGCCATCACGAATGCCATACTGAAGGAGGTGAAGGAGGCGCAGAACAGCAAGCCGAAGGTGCTGCAAATCGTCATCTACGAGTCGTCCGTCTAAGCGCATCATCAACATCGATAACACCTAGTACTATAGCATACTTTTAGACCTAGGCACATCACAACCCAAGAAATATCATATGTTAGAGAGAGAGATCTTTGTATTTAGTTAGGCTTTGCATAATGTTTCTATATAGTTGTTGTTATGCTTCCATTTACTGTTCATGTATCTGTGTGTGTGTGTGTGTAAGTGAGTGAGCTTGTATGTGTACGACTGTGCGTGTGTGTATGTGTGTTTAGTTGTATCTCTATCAATGGGCAGCAATCAGTGAGCTCTGTGACCCTGTGGTCCAGTGATGTCCAGCCAACGACTTCCATAAGCTAATTTCTTAATCTAATTAATTGTAAATGTCTGGGCAATAATATTGCTCATACGCACTGTGGTCACATCTATAAACGAGGGCCGATCAATAAGTAGTTATGATAATGTCAGGCGAAACTTCCGATGGTAGCTAAAAATATACTTCATTGCTTCCCTAGAGAATTGTGAAATTTGCAATAGATTTTATAGACTTGTAAACTGGGTACTTAGGGAATATATATCTGCTTAATCAAAATGAGCTGAGCGTCATCTGTTCGCTTTAACAAGAAAAACCTCATACTATCTGGTCTGTCCCCATCTTGGTCGCTCAGGAGCTATCTCTCTCATAAGCCCTAAAGATGGAACCCTTACATATGCTCATAGCTGGACACTGCCATCTGCGTTCCTGTGTCAAGGTCGATTGCGATTGCTCTTCTAGTTTTCTTATTATCGATAAAAATCGATAGTTTCACAGGGTTCCTTATGCTTAAATCAGGGACCATAAAGAAGCAAAGCACAATGTATTATATGAATTTTGCTTATTTTGGATAGCTTAAATGATTATCGAAAATATTGAACACTACACAATTAGACATATTTATGTCAGGCTATTTTCTAGCCAGACAAGCCCAACTAAATTACTTTTTCACTATTTCATATAAATTCAACTAGCTCACATATCATGTGACTTTTTTATTGACTATTACTGTTGATCGACATACATAAATATAACTCGAATTGCAAGCATAGGGTCATCAGAATAGAGCGCTTTCTAGTCTCGGTAAATGACAACTTATTGATCGCGCCTCGCTTTTACTTATTATGGCAAAAAGTGATGGAATATCTATATATAGATATATACATATACATATATAAATAATTTTTTTTTTTTTTTTAGCTTTAGGTAACAAATACTAAAAATAATCATGCATAAATGTCCAAATCAAAATAAACAAAATAAAAAAGACTTAAACTAAGCGCAAATCAACTCTGAGCAACTGCAGCTGAAACTGAGACTGAGACAGGGAGAGCTACTGAGACAGGGACAGAGAGAGCGACTGAGACAGAGACTGTGACTACGACTGAGACTGCGAATGAGACTCACTTTGAATGAAGCTTTTGGGAAATGGGTAGCCGAGCTTTTACTATGCTCATTCACGCAGCCGAAATGAGTATATTGGCTTTGTGTAATATACATGTTGCTCTACGTCCGTTTGTCTGCTTGTCCCTAAGTCTTGTTCTTCTGTCTGTTTGCATACATTGAAGCTAGAGAGATGGAAATTGAAAAGATATACTCGAATTATAAATGGCTAAGACATTCCCGATAGAATACTTCCATTATAAATAGTGGAATATTTGAATTATAAACTATCAAGATAATTCCCTGGAGTGTCAGGTTGGAAAATCCTTAAAGTCTTGAAAATACGATAGCTCAAAAACCATAGTAGATGAAGTTTTAGAGAGTTTAAATTGGGAATATATACTCGAGTTGATAAACGTAGTTCAAAAAGATTAGGCGGATATATATATATAAAGCTACGCCTGGATAATTAGGTAAAACTATAGTAGAATCTGGTTATAATGACTCCGCTTATAGCGTCCGTACGGTCATTGCGAAGTAAGTTCTGAAGCTAGAAAATTTTTGAATTTGGCAACTTTTCTTTTGATTTTCACTCAAATAGTATATATATAGGTTTAATATATATACCAATTGGGTAAAGGCTGCCGCGCTCTTTGACCTGTGAATGGGTATTCAGCAGTCGGTAAGACCCGACTGCAAGGTTTTTACTTGTGTGTGAGTGAGACGGGGCAATGCGCGCCACAATTTGAATGAATGAAATTGATAAAGACTGCACGTCCGGCTGCTTGGCTGCCTGGCTGCTTGGCTGCTTGGCTGTCGATCGGCGCCAGTTGGTCACTCAGTCAGTTCGGCAATTCGTCAATGCGGCCAGCTGCCAAGCGGCCAGTTCGCCAATTCGCCAATTCGCTTGCCGCTTGCCACATTGTTGGCTATAAAAGTCGGGCGCACTGCCGCCGCCGGCTAGTCACCAGCCACTAGTCACAGCGCGGAGCGTGGAGCGTGCAACGTCGGGCGAGCATTTCCCATTCCATTTCATTTCAACTTTTTTTTTTATCTCTGATTACGAATTTTGTTGTTGCTTTGCTTTCTGTAAATAATATTAGTTGAGTTATTATTACTGCTATTATTATTATTATTATTATTATTATTATTGTGGCCACTGTTATTATTATTTGTTGTGCTGCTGCCGAAGCGCATCGCCCGACGCCTGGCTGGCAATTGTATCAGTATCGCGGCGGACAGACAGCGACGAGCATCCGCAGCATCCGGAACAAAACAAGAGATACAAAATAAATAACAGAAAAAAAAAACGAGCCAAAAATCAAAAAATAATAGTAAAAAAAAAATAATAATTCGCGCGCAATAAAAAAATGTTTTAAGCTCCGCGCTTGAGTTCGTCTCCGCCTACGCTCAGTGCTCAGTGCTCCGTGTGCCCGCAGTGGCGTCTCGCATCCCGGGTGTGCGTGCCTGTGTGTCTGTCTGTGTGTGTGTGTGTGTGCGTCCGTACACTTGTGCTTCTTCTTCATTTATTTATTTTTATTTTATTTTATTTTATTTTTTTTTTCTGTGTGTGATTTATTTTTTTGCGTTTGCCCGTATCGGCCAGCTAGCTAGTTGAGAGTGTGTGCTCCACCTCAATGGAGGTGCTGAAGAAAGATGCCGCTGTGGGCTCGCCCAGCAGCGTCTTCTACTTGCTGCTGCTGCCCACCCTGGTGCTCTGGTACATCTACTGGCGACTCTCTCGCGCCCATCTCTACAAGCTGGCGGCCCGGCTGCCGGGACCGCGCGGCCTGCCCATTGTGGGGCATCTGTTCGATGTGATTGGGCCCGCTTCGTGTAGGTTCAATGCAATTCGCTGAGCAGCAGCCTCGATTCTGTAGCCTGTATCCTGTTTCCTGTGTCCTGTATTTACAGCTGTTTTCAAAACAGTCATACGCAAGAGCACCCCCTTCGAGCACATTGCCAAAATGTGGATCGGGCCCAAGCTGGTCGTCTTCATCTACGATCCGCGCGACGTCGAGCTGCTCCTGAGCAGCCACGTGTACATCGACAAGGCATCCGAGTACAAGTTCTTCAAGCCTTGGCTGGGCGATGGCCTCCTAATCAGCACAGGTGAGTCCAAGTGTGTGTGTGTGTGTGTGTGTGTGCTAAGAGGAAGGGGCTTGCTTGATATGCTGCCACTCTCTCTCTCTCTCTCTCTCTCTCACACTCTTTCTCGACTAGCTAATGCAATTTAAATTGCGTTTATGGAATCATAAATTAATAAAACGATTTGTAAGCCTGACAGTTGGCACAACAACGCCGCACAAATGGCGGCTATAAATAAACCAAACAAAGAACAGCACAGTGAGAAACGGAGAGGGAGAGGGAGCGTGTGAGAGATGAAAGATCTCATGTGCAATTGTCATCCCTATCTAACTCTAACTAACTGGCTTCTGCAACCACTCTCTTTCTCTCTCGCTCGCCTTCTCTTTCCCACGACCTTTCACTTTTTGATGTCTGTCATATACATCCATATAGTGATCAAATTTAATATGTGCCTTATGACGATACCCCGACATCAATCTGAATCAGTTATCTCGAATTTTCGAATTTTCTGTTTATAATCATTTTAGCTAAGCTTTGTCCCTTCTCATTACACTTAAAGATTAAAGGTATAGTTCAGTAGGTATGTCAATGCATATCAGATATAAAAGTTGAGCATTCAATATTTGTATATATCAAGGTCTCTTAGATTATATCATAGATATAAGTATGTATCCTTTGAGCTCTTCCTTTCTACTCATCTTACTCGTTTTTCTATATCTCCTTTCGATCAGGTCAAAAATGGCGGGCTCATCGCAAACTTATCGCACCCACATTCCATTTGAATGTCTTAAAGAGTTTCATTGAATTGTTTAACGAGAACTCGCGCAATGTGGTGCGGAAGCTGCGTGCGGAGGATGGACGCACGTTTGATTGTCATGATTACATGAGTGAGGCAACTGTGGAGATTCTATTGGGTAAGTGACACACACACACACACGCACACACGCACACACTCACACTGAGATACACTCATATACTTAGTTAAACGGTACAGTCCACTCACACGCACGCATTCCATGGATTTGTCTACAGTTTCACATTCAAATTCCGATTCGCTTTTTTTTTCTTGTGCGTACACACACAGAGACATACAGTACGTGCACATACTACATATAGGTACCTATGTATGTATCTGCCAGCTACATGAGATTACCGTCTACAAACACACATACACGCACATATGTATGTATATATGCTACAATTGAGCACAGACCTATTTCCCCATATACTCGCACAAATCCAAATTTTGCTTTCTTTGTCGCTGTTATCCATTTGCCGCTTTTGTCTGTGTAGACACAGCATAGAAGCAGAGAGAGATAGAGAGAGATGACCCGGGACCGAATTATATCAAACACAACTACATATGCATACATACCATATATACATACATATATACCCCAACGGCTACTGCTAAATCGTATAGTTAAAATAATGAGCCGCCGCAAACTGGCGTACACCGATTTCCACAAGCCCCGCAATCTATAGACATACATATGTACATATATATCCGTATGTTCATACCAGGACTAATCATACATAAATCATCTATAAAGTAAAAAATAAAAATTTAAAAACATAAAAATATAAATATAAAAAAAATTAAAAAATAAGTAAAATTTTTAAATATGCAAAACGATTTTTAACAATTTGACGACTTATAAATTGGGTATATAACAGGCAGAAGAAAGCGTGATCAGGGCGACGAGCTGAGTCGGCTTATCCCTGTCGGCCGTAAGTCCGTCTGTCCATATGTCGAAATGCGTCCGTTTCGGAATCTATACGAGCTAGAGACTTACATTTTTTTGGTAGGTTTCTGCATAGTACGCGCATATAGTGTTTATTTAAAAAAAAAATCGATAACTTTTACTGTTTTAGTGGTGTCCATTAAGAACCTCTTCAAAAATCGGCTATAAAATTATATCATCATCATCTTTGAAGCTATAGACACGAAGTTATGCAATTAGAGTCATGTTGCGGGTCCCGAATCCGGCCTAACCTCCAAACCTGAAAAAAACAAGTTTCTAGCTGTTATATCTTCTGAAATCGACGCGTTCAAACATACGGACGGACGGACAGACAGACAGACGGATAGGTCTAAATCGACTCAGCTCGTCGCCCTGATCAAATATATATATACTTTGTGCGGTCTGCCACGCCTCCTTCTGCCAACAAAACCATTATCCCTGATTTCCCATTTTCAATGGGTTCAGGGTATAAAAATAACGTATTTCAAGAAATGGAGATTTGTGGCTTGGCAAATAACATACACATATATAAAGTCATTATACCACTCCGAAAGTTGGCTTACAAAGCTCGTTCTACAAGAAAAGTTATTCAACAAATAAGTCCCAGACATAGCCCAAAATGCAGTCCAAGCGCAGTCGCTGCGTCAACTGCGCAGTCAGCAGAGCGCGAGTTTAAGGTTGAGTGGATCACTCTCTGCTAGAGTTTTCTTACTTGACTTTTTTTATATGTATATCTTTTAAAAAAATTTATTTTATCAAAAAGAATATTAAATCAAATTTTATTTAATTTATCAAATTGTATATTTATAATAATTAAATGTATTTTCCAAATTGAACTTTTTTAGATGTTTTGCTCAAACATTCAGGTATTCGCTTTATGTTATCCTGAATGTAATTTCCATCTATTGAGAGATTCGATTTCTGATTTGATTTTGCAACTAGTAAAATCTTGTTTGCATGGCGACTTTCACTTAATGCTGCTCGAAGGCTT